ATCAAGTAGCTCTTCAAGTCTACCTGGGAGACATTCCTTTCTCTCCTCATTAGTAGCTTGTTTAGTTTAAGAGGGTGATTTTATTTCCCTTCCAGCCCTACCCCTAACCCGGGCTTTGGAGGGTGAATACCTGTTTTGTTCCCCAGCTGACTCGTAACTTAAACAAACACTTGCTCCTTATGTTACAGGCAGTGAGTGTGCCCAGTTCTTTGCGATCTGTGCCTGGCTTACCCCTCTAACCTTCCCACCGGACCACAGCCAAGTGCGTGTGGTTCCCCTGAACGCTGCTTTTTGGTGGTACCTCTCCTCTTCTCTCTTTTCTTCAGAAGCCTTCCGTTACCCAGCTGGGCTGTAATGTCAGCTCTTCTCTTGTGCCTTCTTTGACCGTCCCTGGCTGATGAGCCTGCTCCTTGCTTTGAGCCTCTACTTTCTAGAATATTCGGTCAGAGCAGTGGTACTCAAACCTTCTTGCTGGTGTAGTTCCTAAGAGAATTTGGGGAGACTATATTTCCTTTTACATTTTTAAGATAATTTCTGGCATTTTGTAAATAATGAAAATTTAAAGTAAGCATTATTCTTTTAGATGTACTCAATAGAATCTAAATGCTATAATGAGAATCCATTTTTAAAAATACAAGAACATGCAACCATTGAAAGAAACTGGGAAAATGGCACATAAGGTCTATTATTTCTTACAACTTCATGTGAAATAAAGTTTAACTCAATAAAATTCTGATCTTGACTTAAAAATACATGAACAAGTTGTTTAACAGAAATTTTACATCATTTTTTATTCTACTTCTCCCTCCTACTTTTATTTCAAAGTAATATATTTTGTGTAGTCTTACCATGCTACCATAATTTTCTGCAACACAAATATGTATATAAGTTGGACTTCTAAAAAATTTAATTTTTCCCTGGCTGGTACACCAGTGGATTGAGCACAGGCCTGCGAACCAGAGGATCTCAGTTCGATTCTCAGTCAGGGCACATGCCTGGGTTGTGGGCCAGTTCCCAGCAGGGGATGCACGAAAGGCAACCACACATTGATATTTCTCTTCCTCTCTCCTTCCCTTCCCTTCTAAAGATAAATAAATAAAATCTAAGATAAATAAATAAAATTATTAAAACTTTTAATTTTTTCTTACTTAGAAGCTTTAAGCATTACATTTTTCTCATTTGAGTTATAATTATTTCCATACAGTTGATCAACATACATGATAAATTTTGTCAAATAATTATTGAACATAGGTAAATTCTATTGAAATTGTGTGTGATATGGAGTTTTTTTAATAGTTTAACAGATATTGTTTTTATTAGACTGAGATGAAGTTTAACATCAAGTTGATGTTTTGTTTTGTTTATTTCACCTCTTTATCCTCTAACCTTAGTTGTAGAAGTCTTCTCAACCCCAAACTTTTACCCAGATTGTCTCTTTATTTGGAACCATGGAAGATTTTATATCTTAAGGCAGTATAAACTACAGTCCTATTTCCCCTAAACCTTTTCTAGTGTATTAAAACAGTATTTTTATGCAGAAGAGTAACAGGTTTAATTAATAGTCATTTGCTAAATCTTAATCAACTCTTGGCTATATATACTTCCTAGAAGTAGACCATAGTACAGAGAGAGGTGTGTGCTTTCTTTCATAAACTACGCCTTTGGCGGGGTGCAGGGGTGCAGCAGCTAAACAGTGGGAATGTTGAAAAGGAGAATGGTGATGAAGTACTTACCACAGAAGCCATTTGATTCACTAACGTTTTCCGTACTCACATATCCCTTTGAAGTCTCTGTACCTCCAGAGCCCGCAGGAAGGCCCCCCTTAGTCTGAGGCACTGGGGGCATTTGTTTGTATTTGTGTAAATACTGGCTTACTCTCCTTTGTGTCTTTATTCGAGAAATAACTTTCCATTGCCAGTTTACTGGAATAGTGTTTTTATATCTGATTAGTAGTTGCTTGGTAAATAGATGGATTGCATTGAAATAGTTATTGAATGTACCTATTAAATAGTTAGATATTTGAGTTAGCCCCCCATAGATGTGATTTTAGTTCTATGAGAGGGATGAAGTAGTCGAATGGACTACTTTCAGGCAGGTGGCCTGCCTGAAACCTCACTACTTGAAATACCCTTGATAGGGAAGTACAGTCTTTGGAGACCGCGGTGCAGATGGCGTACTCAGGAGCCGGCAAGGTTCTGTTGTGTCTGTAAGAGGTGAGAGACACCATTCTTAGACCCCATCCCTCTTTCCACAAACGTGTGCCTTTATATTTCAGAAGACTTTCAAAGAAAGCCAGTGGGTTTTTTTTTCCCCCTTCAGATTTATACATATACTTTCTGTCAATTTCGGGAAATTTGAAGTAATCTAAAGAGAGACATTCTGTCTTTTGCTAGCGATACCGTGGGACATCCTTAAGGGTAGCATCACAAACATAACCTGTACTTGCCCGTGAAGAGTAGGTATGATCATTTTCTCTCTCACATTCAGGAGAGGGGGAAAGGTGACTGGGTAAGAATTGTTAGAGAAAGGAAGACAAGCTGTGGAAGGGCCCTGACATTTATTCAGGCTGCACTGAACTTGGCAATGGTTGGAATCACTGGCACATGTTTCGTTTAACTATGGTTGTAATGGGGAAGATTGCCTCTGGGAGGCCGTATTGACAGGGAAATGTAGAGGGAAAAGAGAGAATTTGATTTGTATATCATACGTAATCTTGTTAGGGGGTAAGAAAGGAGATGTGGAAAGATGTTGTTCCAGGTGTTTCTCCATTTTGGCCACTAGGTGGTGACATTGTATTGACAGCTTGGTTGCTGGCAAGATAGACTTGGAGTGTGGGTAGGTAACTAACAATAAACCCAAGTGAATCACTAATGTTTTTGTATGAGTTTCTCAACTTTATATTGCATTTGTGGGGACTTTATCTAATTTTTTGGTATTTAATTTACATCATATACCCTGAAGTATTTTATACATACTTCTGTGTGTAAAAATCTAAATGTTTGTCCTATATTTACTTCTACTGTTTATGGCGTAGGCATACACACACCTTTGGGGCTCAGGGAGAAGGACCTCTCTGAAGGTCCTCTCCTCTGTGAGTAGCCCTTGCTTCTCACTGGGTGTGGGTAACGGACACCCAGGACCCTCCACACTTCCCTTTCCAGCCCCACCATCAACTCCCAGTCAGACGTGTTTCATGTCGTGACTTAAAGTGATGTCCTTTCTCTCACAGTGGAAGTTGCTGCCTCGTGAATTAGAGGGCTCTCTGTTACTGGATTGGAGGAAAATAGGTCCCTGTTATTCCAAGTTGGTATTCTGAGTGCACATTTTCATAGAAACTGTTTTTTGTGGTAGTGAAATATGAAGTGGTACTGTTCACGACCTTAATTTTAAAAATCAGACTTCTTTGTTTCCTTTCAGAGTAAATAATCTGGAAAGACATTTTTTCTCTTCTTCAAAAGAAGAAGACATTTTCAAGAGACTATATGTTCCTTTAAAATATGATATTTTTTTTGCTGGATACGACCTGATTTTCTCCAGCTTGAAGCAGGCTGTCTGTCCTCTGTACTCTTTGGGCCTGTTTAAAGACCCAGCTTTACTATGTGAGTGGCATGTTGATAGTATCGTCCCAACTGTACTGCGCATGTGTTGGGTGCCAAGCTTCTCGTTTACCTTTGACACCAACAGAATCGTGCCCAGTGCCTTGCATGTAGTCGGTGCTCAATTAAATACATCAGATGCACAAGTGAAAACGTAGATGATTTAAGGCCAAAGTGCTGTGTTTTAAGTTAATTACCTCTGACTGAAAATAATTTTTATAGGGCATAAGGTATTTAAATTGGCTTTTAAAGTAGAAGGACTCCTGTGGCTAGGGGCTTTAATTTCTGATGAATGGACGCTAAGGCTTTGAGGTTGTAAAACAGTAGTTATAATTTTAGGGACTCAAATTGCATTCTTTTAAGCCTAGAAAATGCAGTCGATGCATGGAACTGTTTCATTGCTAGTGTTCCAATTTACTTACCCTTTTGAGAATCTCATCGCAGCGTCCCCAGACACACACACTCAGAAAATTGCACATGCATTTACACAGATGACTCTGTGTCCTGGTTTAGAGAACTCATAGACCTCACGTGAAGAACTGCTTCAGTTCCTAGAATGTACTAGAATTGACTAGTCAAGATGCAGCTAGATATAGTAGGAAATGTGCTGTGTACCAAATCAGGTCACCTGAGTGAGTTCCAGCTCTCGTGTTCTACTTTTGGTAAATGTGACGCCATTTGGTGGGCCGTGTAGTCCGTCCTTACCTGTTCTTGGTCTGTGGAGTTGTTGGATAAGAGTAAATGAATGGAGCGCATTGATGGAATGGTGCTGGGTGCATGGTATGCTTCTCAATTTTTGTTCCCAGGGTTTGTTTCTATTATTTCATGAAGGATTTCTGAATTTTGTGATGTTCTAATACCTTTCCCATAAGAAAATAACTCTTCACTTATCTTTCCCTTAAGAAAATTACCTTCGCATATATATATATATTTGAAACTTGGGTGGTAATTGACTTACCGTTCTGTTGTCCTGTGCGACAAGCAGAAAGCTGTGTTGTGATCTTTTGACACCTTGGTGTAGCTGTAGTCAGTACACACAGTACGGTGCTTCTGACGGCAGTGCTGCCGGTGCAGGTTCCTGAGTTGGGGAATGTGTGTCTGTCAGTGTGTAAAGTAACGGGAGAGGAAGCACTGAGATAATGTGCTCAAGGTGTTAAGTAAGCGAGCCAGTGTAACTTGTTAGAGCAACAGAGCATTTTCCCGTAGTTACAGTTGCTAAGAACTTGAGTCTTTTCAGAGGCTGGATGTATTTCGTCTTACAGAAAATCCATTACTATTCATGTAATACTCTTTATAAAAGCAGACTTCATTGATGTTTGTCAGTAGCAAACAGGTGGTTTAAAAATATGTAACTTTTATGGATTACCTAGTAAGACACACACTTTTTATTTTTATTCTAACTAGGGAAGAAGATAAAAACATCTTTGATTACTGCAGGGAAAACAACATCGACCATATATCCACAGTCATCAAATCGAAACACGTGGATGTGAACATGAAAGATGAAGAGGTATGAGAAGCGTCTCCTGTCATCGTTTTCTTACGCTCTCTTGTTCTACCCCGGTGCTGTTTTCCAAACGGCAGCCCTGGGGACCGCAGCTCAGAGTACGGTGGAGTTCAGAAAGAACTTCTCAGTGAGGCTTCCGCCGTGTTGTACAAGTTACTAGGTGAAACATGCACTCGAGTGACTTGTATGTGTTCATCATAAAGGGAGAGACTGTGGACGTAAGTGCAACCTACAGGCAGTATGAAAACACTCAGAAATAGCTTTAGTGTCTGCTGTCATTGTATCTTAAATGGTATATTGTCCATTGCTCAGTAAACAGATGTCTGTAAAACTGTCAGAAGTTTGGTAAATCCAATCATTTAAATGTCGTTCATTTTTTAAATATACCTTGTAAAATGTACTGCTTCATAAGTTTGTTTTGTGAATAAAACTGTTTACGTATTGAGTTTAAATTGTCCGTAAGTTATAGTTGTTTAAAAAAGAGCAAACTTTACTAATTCACTTTTAATCATTTTTCTCAGTCTTGGATGATGCAGTGAAAGCTGACTGAAATGACCAAAGGTAGCAATTGTTAGAACAAGGACATGGAGTGATCATAGATAATATGGAGAGTAGATAAAGAATCAACTTACATATTAATTGAGCGCTCTCTCTATAATACAGGGTGGGGCAAAAGTGGGTTTGCAGGTGTGAGTACGTGAAACAGAGTTTACCCTTGTGTTATTATTTATTAGTTATTGTATTATTTCCCGTACAAACCACTGTAAACCCGCCTTTGCCCCACGCTGTATTATCTCATTTTAAGGCACCATCTTTCCTGTAACGGACATCAGTGACATCTGGAACTGAAAATGTAAGGGTTTAATTCTCCAGTAAAGGGGACCAGTAATAATACTATTTGTTCTTCCCTAAGTAGTGAAACAAACACAGCCAAGGAAGATGTAGCCAGAGGAAGCAGATGCCAGATTGTGAAGTAATGAGACCAGGTCATGATTCCTGCGAGGGGATTTTTGCCTTTCAGGATCAGAATCCTTTTTTTTTTTTTTTTTTTTTTTTTTTAGTAGATCAGGCATGATTGCTTCCCTAGATTTTATTGTCACTTCTTATTTTTATGCTCATGAGTTAAGATTTTTATAAAATTAATACATGTGGATAGTTTAAAAAATCAAAGTGTTTTATGTCTTGTAACAAAAAAAGTGTTCCCTTACTGCATCCTTCTCATATTTGATTCTTTTAGTTTCTTTTGCAATTACCTACGTAATTCCTAATAACATACTTGTATCTCTTGATTTTCCCACTTTAGACATTATTGGTTTTCTTCTATGATGTTAGGATCCAGCTGTTTTACTCATCTTTCCTCTCCCCATCTCCCTCCCATCCATCCTCCAACGAACGTAGTTACATCACAACATTTTTTATTGAAGCTGTTGAATCAGTGTTTATTATTATATAATCAATTACAATTTAATTAACAATGTAATATAATTATATTATTATGTCTTCATAAATATTATTCATTACTGAGTTATAGACTTACTATTTGCATTAGCTTTTGCTATAGCAAAAAAAAAAATCCCAAATTTTGGTGGCTAACAAAAACATCTTTTTTGCTCATATGTCAAAAGGGTTTTGGGCACTGGCTGGTGTAGCTCAGTGGATTAAGCGCGGGCCTGCGAACCAGAGGATTGGGGTTCGATTCACAGTCAGGGCACACGCCTGGGTTGCAGGCCAATTCCCAGTGGGGGACGCACAAGAGGCAACCACACATTGATATTTCTCTCCCTCTCTCCTTCCCTTCCCCTCTAAAGATAAATAAATTTAAAAAATCTTTTTTAAAAAGGGGTTTTGGATTACGGAAGGCCTTGCTGGTTCTGCTAGCCTTGTTTGGGAGCAGTTCATCCCGATTTCATCTTCTCATTCTCAGATCCAGTCTCAATAGATGGACACCGCCCGGGGCAGCAGCTGAAGGCAGACAGACCAGATCCCACAAATACTTTAAAGATTTTGCTTGCGTGTGGCATGTCCACATCTACTCACATTTCTTTGGCCAAAGCCAGGCATGAGGCCCAGCCCCAGGCTGCATGGTGGGAAGTCTGCCATATCACAGAGAAGCAAGGCAGGGGGGGAAGGGAAGGGAGAATCACATAGTTATGACAGATACTGTCTGCATACCACGGTACAGATTTGTGTTTCTTAAGGTTAACAATTAACTCTTTTTTCCCTTTATATTTTCTCAGTCTTCTATGTTTCCATGGTTAATTTTCCTCAGTTTGCCCAACAGAGGTCTCCTCAGCGCGGTCAGACACGTCAGGTCGTCAGCCCCCTATACGTTCCAGCGCCTTCCCTCCTGGAACCCTCTGCCCCCTGCCCCCTCCATCTCTGAGCTGCACTGGCTGCTCGCAGGCTGCGTAGATGTCATCCCAGGCCTGTTGTACCGCCGTCCCTGGCACGCTCTTCCCCGTCCTCCCGGATTCTTGTTCTCTGGATCCCGGGTCTTCACCTCCTGCTATCTCTTTCCCTGTTTTGATGGGGAACCTCCCCCAGTAACTTCCTCTCTTATTTTGTGGTTTTGATGGGGCATTTCCTCCACTGGCTGTCTGAGTGAGACCCTTTGTTGAAAATGTTTCCATCACAGTTTCTGAGTATTCTAAATGCTCAAAAAAGAAGAAAACCAAATGGACAAATTAATGAATGATCAAATAAATGAATAACTAGAAGCAGTATAATATAATGCTGGTAAGCTGGACTACATGGGGTCAAGGGTCAAGTCTTCACAATGTTAGTTCCTACCCATGTGACCTTTCAATTTTATTCTGTGACTCAGTTTCCTAATGTGTAAAATGGGAATAATAATAGCACGTGTGTCAGGGTTGTTTTGATGCTTAAATGAGTTAATATATATATAAAGCAGTTAAACAGTACCTGACATACAGTAAGAACTCAGTAAATTTTAGCTATCTTGATTATTATTAATAATATGAAAGAAGAATGATAATGTGGGGAAGAAATGAATGAAAAAGCCACTTACCTTTTTTTTAACTGAATTTTTAGAGCAGTTTTAGTTTATACTGAAATTGAGGGGAAGGTGGAGATTTTCCACGCACCCCGCCCCCAGACACGCACAGCCCCCTCCACTCACCAGAGTGGGGCTTTGTTTTTTTTCCACTGAGGAGGAGCCTGCAGTGAGACATCATAGCCACCCACAGTCCGTGGTCCACCCCAGGGTTCACTCGCTTTTGGTTTGGATCAGTGCATAAAAGTAGTACCAAAAACCAGATTCACACAGGACCTTTGCAGAGATCATTGGACAGCAGCAAAAGGGATAAAATAGATGTCTAGAACACAAACAGCTTACACTAATTTTACACACATTTGTGTGTGTGTGTAAAAATAAAAGGAACACTTGTAAAATGCATTGCGTCTGTCACTTAGTTGCTTTGATGTAGTAGCTTCCCAGGACTTCCAGTGAGTTACCCACGCACCCGCCTGCCCCGCCAGCCTGCCCGACCGTTGGATGAAGTGCTTACACATTCATAGACTGAGACGCCAGGAATTCAGCTGGGTTCTCTCATCGCTCCGAGCAGATTTCTGCCCCCTCAGCCATGACAACTCAGCCTGGGCTTTGAATACTGATGGCAAGCCCTTTTATTATTAATCAGGGATTTGTATGAATTAATTTGAGAACATGAGGGAGATGAGAGCTTAAAGTGAGAATTAAACTTAACACCCTAAATAAAATTAATGGTACTGCTCCACGGTACTTAACGCTCTAGCAAGTAAAACAACTCGGTAAGCCTTGGAGATGGACTAAAGGTACATAACTTCAAAGTCGAGTTGCCGGCTAAATACCATTAACCCCTTTATCAGAAATACTGCATTTCTCTATAAGTTGGATAACAATTACAGTTTTGAAAGGACATCCAGGTCTTTGTGTTTAGGTGATATATGAACTTGAGATATTTTACTATTGATTACTTAAGATTATTTGGGATGGTATAGGGCTTTATTTTAAAATGTTTATGCAGCCCTGACCGATGTGGGTCAGCTGGTTGGACCATGTTCTGTAAATCAAAACGTTGCGAGTTCAATTCCTGGTCAGGGTGCACACCTAGGTTGTGGGTTCCGTCTGTGGTTGAGGCGTGATCGACGTTTCTCCCTCACATCAGTGTTTCTCTCTCTCTCTGTCCCTCCCTTCACCTCTCCCTAAACTAAGTAACATGTCCTTGGGTGAGGTTATGAATGAATGAATGAATGAATGGTATGTTTATCCAACAGGTTTAACTCAATTTCAGTCTTGCCCTTACATGACTAAAAATCACATTTATTGCACTTAAAATTTGCTGTGAGCACATAAAGAAATTTAATTATAGTTTTATAATATGCCACATTTGCATTCCCACATATCTGAAATAAACACAATTATCATATTTCCTGAAATGCATATATTTGGATCTCTAACCATTATCACACATGAACATATATGAGATTAAATATTAGTATTCCATACTGAAGTTATTTTATTATGCATCAGTATAGTTCCTGATACATATCTGGTATTTACTCAAGTTGTAATTACTAGTAATAGACTAGAGCACATATTTCTAATTTGAGAAAACTACATGGTATTTCCTACTGATACAGTAATTAGGATATTGTCTATATTTCAGATGATAGAAAAAAGTTTTGTAATTATATTTACTATTCAGGAAGCTATCTATCAGAGGTTTTAGGGTCCAAGTTTATAGCGTCATGGTGTTATGTATACTCATTTTTATCCAAATTACAAGTTTTATATTTTTTAACCATTTGCAGAAATATTTGGAAATTGAAATAGACAATATGAAGAGAAGTATAAAAAGATCTAAGATATTTTCTTAAATACCGATTCAATTTTTATTATTAAACTATCAATATAGCTCCCCATACATGCCAAATATTTACAGTTTTTCAAAAAAATATCCTTTAAGGGTAGAGAATGATTTAAATAATGTGTAAAGTGTTTA